CTGGCCCTGGGGCGATTGGGTCTCCGGGCCTCCGGGCGGGCCCTCGTGGCAGCTCTTGCTCTCCCCTCCTGGGGAAAGAGAGGGGGCGCGCCCGGTGAGTCCTGGCACTCACGATAGGCCCACCCCTTTCTCGGCTTGCAAGGCAAACTCCCCCCAGGAGGTGTGGTCCAACACAGCGGGGTACGGGGCACTCACCCGGGCAGACGCTTCTGCTGACGTCGGTCCCTACAGGCAGCGTCCCGGGCTCCAGCTGGGTCTGCGCTTCCGGCTGTGGGGGTTGTAGCCCTGCCAGGGCAGGGGAACAGTCAGGGGCCAGGCATGGGGGTCGCACAAAGGAGGGGCGGGGTGCGGCTCCAGTGGGTGACAAGGGTGCCCCGTTGGAAGAAGGGAGAATGCCCCCAAGATCCAGCAGAGGCCGGCAGGCCGGATGCCCAGCCCAGCAGGCTCACTGCTGGTCCTACAGGGCAGAGCGGGAGAGCCCGGCTGGGACGCAGGCTGTTCCTCACCTAGGGAAACCACTGTGCCGTACTTCTCCAGCATCGCGTCCCAGTACAGCTCCTTCTGCGATGGGTCCAGCAGTCCCCACTCCTGCGGATGCGGCCCTTCGCTGTGGGTGCCAGCCCACCCCGGGGTCACATCCTTGCTCGTTACCTGGGAGAGCGGTTACCTAAGCCCCATGTGCTGGTGGGCCAAGGATGAAGCTGAGAAGGGTGTTTGTGAATGCTGGGGTCCTCCTTCAGATCCCCCCACCAGCGCTGCCAGCACTCATTCCCCTGGGCCGCCCCACCCTGCTGAGAGAGTGTGAGCTTACAGCAGGCAGGGACCAGAATGGCTTTACCAAAGAATGCACTCCCTGCCCAAGAGGTCAGCCCCTCTTGCCTCCTGAGTCCCATTTTCTGGGGCTTGCTAGTTGAGAAAAATAATGCCAAAGAACAAGTCAAAACAGGTCCAGGGCAGAGAGGCAGCAGCCAGGAGGAGCCACGGGCCTGAGAGAGTGATGGAGTGCCCAGGCACTGGGAGGACACTAGCAGATGCAGCCAGCTGACCCTGCCTCCATTTCCAACTGTGCCATGAGGTCGCTGGGGAAGCCAGAAGGGAATTCTCAGCCTCCAAGCACATCTCAACTGGAAATTCTGCTGCAGAAGTTCCCCAGTGGAGTGGCTTAGAAGGTTTAGAAGCAGAGGAGTTAGGCAAGGACAAGACCCTGTGACCTACACCTGGAAGCCAAGTGCTCGAGGCAACAGGGGTCTGGGGCTGAGCTTCCAGGCCCAGAGGTTGCCCCTGAGGAAAGCCCAGGACAGCAGGGATTTCAGACACTGCTCAGGAAGAGTGTCTCTGGTCTGGTCTCAGGTGTCGGGGTCCTACCACACCTGGTCATCTTGTCCCCTCCCCACCTGTACACAGAAGTTCAAGTCACCAGACACTGGCTCAGGTCTTCCCAACTGACATCTTCGGAGGTGAGGAAGTCAAACCCAAAGCCCTCCAGTTCCAGCCACTCTAAACCAGTTTCTATGGCCTGAGGTCCACATCCTTTCTAATCACAGAGACCACCAATCTGCCCCTCTGTCCCAAGTCCTGTGGGGTGGACGTAGGTGCTACTCTACTTCTGGGCAACAAAGAGCCACTAGCCAAGGAGCTGGAAACCTTGGAGCAGAGGGTGGCCCCAGGGACACTCTCCTCCCACACCCAGGACATACACTTCCCTCTTGGGGTTCTCACCTGAATCCTAGGTGGGTGGAAGGATGCGGAGACTGGTTCCTGGTGTTCAAGGCACCCCTTGGGGGACTGGGCTGGATGGGGGGTGCTGGAGGGTGCTGGAAAGCAGGACAGACAGGAGGTAGTTGTCAGGAGCTGCCCACATGAGCCACAGTGGATGGGAAGCTGGTGTTATTGCTGTGGTCTGGATTCTCCTCTGCTCTATGGCACGATGGGCAGCCAGCCCTTGGCTCCCGCCTCCCAGGGGCTCAGTTGGGCAGTCAGACAGGGACATCCACACTCATTTCAGGACTCCCACCCTAGCCTGGCACGGCCATACTCTCTCCAGGAGCCCCTCATTCCTGGTGCAGCCCCAGCCTCACCCATTTCCTGCCCATCAGCATCAGGCTCCTCCTTCACACTGCAGCTGAGCTGAGGGAGCCCCTCTATGCTGGAGTCCTGTGGATTCTCCCCAGGGACTGCCCCAGAGGACTCCACCATCCCTGAGGGGTGGGGGCTACCTGAGAACTCCTCTGTCTTCTGGGCTGCAGGGAGCACCTCCTGCCTCAGGACGTGGGCTGTGATCTGAGGAGAAGAGGCAAGTCACAGGGGCTCGAGCTTTGGCCTGTCCCTCCAAGAAGCTAGTGCTGGCCACACTCACCCAGCCCAGCAAGTGCCCAGGATTGTGCTGCAGCCCCTCCACCAGGGCGGTGGCCTCTTCGGGGCTGCCTGGCCGCTGTCCCCGCACGTAGGCCTGGATCTCAGGGGGCAGCACACCCAGGAACTGCTCCAGCACCAGCAGCTCCAGCATCTGCTCCTTGGAGCGTGCCTCGGGCTGCAGCCACTGGCGACACAGCTCTCGGAGCTGGGCCAGGGCCTCTCGGGGTCCTGTTGCTTCCTTATAACGGAACCCCCGGAAGCGCAGGCGTGCCGTCTCTGGCTCCTCAAGGGTGGTCTCAGGGTCCAAGAAGGGCAAGTGTGGGGGACCTGGAGGGGATGGCATTCTTGTTCAGGGGGTCTTCTTGTAGCTATCAAGATGGGCCTACAGAGGAAGAGGAGTCAGGGTGTCAGCCAACAGCATCTGGCTAAGGGAAGGCAGACATCAAGTTCAGCCCAGGGGCCTGCGGCCAGAACAGAATGGACTCTGAGGCTATGGTTAGGTGAGGACAGGAAAGCTTATGGAGGGAGGGGGACGCAGAAGTAGAACACTGAGGGGAAGAGAGCAGGAGGAAAGCTTGGAGACAAACGCCTGGAGGTAAGGTATCCAAGGAGCTTCTAGGAAATTGTAAACAGTTGCGTACACCAGGCAACTGCTGGGAGATGATGGTGAAGAGATGGCAAAGGGAGTCATCACGTGCTTCCGGGGTCAAGCTAAGGAGCCACACACAGTGCCCGGTAGAGGAGGGAGGGGAGAGGTCCACCAGTTTGGCAGGTGGGGCCACGGTCCAGGGTTAGCCAGATGGGAGAAGGGGCAGCAGGTAGGAGGTGGAGCCAGGCTAGTCTGTACCAGGGCAAGTCTGCCTCCACAATCTCTGGGACAGGTTGACTGAAGTGGAGCACGCTTTGGGGCTGGCTTTGGGTCTGGGTCACATCCATGCCACAGGTGAGGCAGGAGCTGATGTGGACTCAGATATCATGCTCCCTGGCCACGGCGAACTGTGGATGACGCAGTGCCCAGGCCCTTGCGCGTAAAAGCGGAGCAAAGGCCAAGAAAAACGCTGCGGGGAGTCGTGGGGTGGCCACTGTGTCCCAGCCCAGAAGAGGGTCTGGAATGAAACACGCCCACCCGGGGGGAGGGGCTGTCAGCAGCCAGAAGAGGCCCGCACCCGGCCTATCCGCAGACCCCAGAAATTCGGGATCTGTCCCACCAAAAGGGAGGGAAGCGGTAGGCCCTCCAGGAGGACGGGGCCCTAAGACTGTCAGGAGGCTGGCGGGTCCACCAAAGCGCAGGGGGCGGAGCCAGCCAAGTCAGCGGAGGGCGGCCCCAAACCCCCGGAGGGGTGGAACGGCCAGGCCAGCACTCACCTCCACCTCCCGCGGCGGCCGTAAGGGCACTTCCAGGAAGCAGCACGGCAACCAGCCCGCCAGCCGCCGACCGAGCGCACAGGCCCGCCCCGCCCGCGCGCTGTCACGGCGAAGACGCTCGGGCCAATACCGCGCCGGTCCCCCGAGACCCCGCCCACCTCCTTTATACTACGTTTCCCGTGAACCTCCGCAAGCAAAGGCGCGACTTCAGGGAGCAGGCGCCTTTTCAGACGCCGGGGCGGGGAAGCGCTCTTTCTCCCAGAGGAAGCCGCAGTGTCTCAGAGCTTTGAGGGCTCTCTGCCCTCTCCGGCCGCAGCTCTCCCACCGCACGTGGGCCCCAGGACTTACCCGCAGCCCGGCGGTACACCACCTTGGAAGCCGGTGCACGTGCACAGCGGCCGGGTTCTTATTGCCAAGAGAAGTGAGAGGCGGGGTGTGACGTTCCGGCCAATCTGAGGCGCCGCTCCGCCCAGGCCCCTCCCGCCCCCAGCTATCCCCTAGGTAACGGCCGGAGCACTACCGCCCGCCTCCTGTTGTTTCCTTGGCAACAGCCGGAGCGTCACCCTGGCCTCCCGAGAGGTGCAGTTGAGACACTGGACCAGGACTCGCTTCCAGGCGGTCCTGGGAGGAGGCGGGACAGAAGGTGTGCCTGCACCTGGCCTCCTCTGTCACTCTGGGGGATTTCTCCCGCGGAAAGGACGCTTCATCCGACCTCTGACAAGCGCCTTGCAGACACGCGGAAGCGACACAGACTCCAGTGGACGCCCCTTTCCTGATGAGGTAACTGTCTCAGGATTATACCCTCAGAAACTCAGACATGTCTTCAGGGATCAGTCCTGCAAAGTGAGGGATGGAGGCGTCAGTCCAGGTTTCAAGGACGTGTTCCACGTTTTATTTACTGAGAACTAGACACGGTACGCTTCACTTAATCTCTCTCAACAAGGCCAGCGCAGTGGCTCAAGCCTATAATCCCAGCACTTTGGGAGGCCGAAGCAAGAGGATTGCCTGAGCCCGCGGGTTCAAGACCAGCCTGGATAACATGATGAGGCATTGTCTCTACAATAAATCAAAATATTAGCTGGGTGTGGTGGCGCGCGCCTGTAGTTCCGGCTACTTGGAAGGCTGAGGCGAAAGGATCACCTGAACCCTGAGCAGGTCAAGGCTGCGGTGGCCGTGAGTGTGCCACTGTACTCCAGCCTGGGCTACAGAGTGAGACTGCAGCTCACTCAAAAATTTTTTTCTCTCAACAGACATCGTTGTTTTATAAGTACATTAAGTGTTCTTCTGTTATGTAGGATCCGTAGCTGCCTACTCCGGATGGATAGAGGTCTTACACAAATTGAAGCTCTGAGCATGTGCGTAAATGGAGCTCCTCAACTCTCAGCTTCCCTGTGGCTTCATCAGGTTGTGCTATTTCAGGAGAGCTTAGGCCTTTTCTCTGGGACTGTGCAGATTTCCCAGAAACAACTTTTATCCTCCAGCATACGGGGAGAGTGTAGGGGCATTAATGGCATCTCAGGATGTCTACAAAAAAGCTTTGTTGTAGGTGTCCCATCCCTGAGCTGCTGGTTCCCACCCTTCTGATCATATGCAGGGTAAGCCTGGTGGGACCTTTCACCACTTCCTTGTGCCCACTCAGTATTAATGACAGCTCCCCATCCACTTCTGACTTCAGAATGCAATTGCTAGTGGCTCCTCTTTCCCCACCCAGCCCTGTCCTCGAGGATTTCTATTTTAAACTCTTCCCTCTGTGGTTTCAGTGTTTTTTTGTTTTTTTTTTTCTGAGTTGGAGTCACTCCATCGCCCAGAATAGAGTGTATGGTCACTGCAGCCTCGACTTGCTGGGCTCAGATCCTCCACCTCAGCCTTCCAAGTAGCTGAAACTACAGGTGCATGCCACCATGCCCAGATAATTGTTTTATTTACTGTAGAGATGAGGTCTCACCAAGTTGCCCAGTCTGGTCTCTAACCCCTGAGCTCAGGCTATCCTCTCGCCTCCGCCTCCCAAAGTGCTGGGATTACAGGCGTGAGCCAGTGCCGGGCCTCAGTGGTTTTCCGAGCCAAGTGAAATGGATGTGTCCAGTCAGATATTGACCCAGAAGTCCAGAGACTTTTGCAGTCACTGCCTGTTCAGAACCACAGAGGTTGTGGGGGGCAGACAACTGAAAGGTGGGGGTCAAGTGGTCAGTCATGGATATTGGGAGGAGCAGATTCAAAGACAGTGGAACCGCTGAGTGACAACAGGGGCTTAAGCAGTGGTGCACAGGAGAATCCTAGAGGGAAGACAGAATAGGGCACTAAGCCCAGCCTGAGGGGTCAGAACACTAAGTTGGCTCCAGGACCATCCACCCACGGCACAAAAAAGATTCCAGGTGACTCTGGGTACCCAACTTGTTTGAAATTTCATGGGATCCCAGAGGAGTCATCAGGGCAGGGCTTCATCTGTATTTCAAGCTCTGCATAATTAGAAGAGGGACAATGGTTCAGGAGTCCACAGGTTATCAGGAGGCCCACCTCAGAAAACTGGCTCTTGCAGGGCCTTGAGGAGCTGGGTCCAGAATACTCCAACTCTTTGCAGGAACTTGGGAGGTTTGAGGGGTGGATGAAGGATCTGGCCAAATGGCACAAGACCCCAGTTTGTGCTCTTTGTGTAGGGGGATAGCTGCAAGGTTCTGGAGTCTATAGGATGGATTCACTGGGCAGGAGTCAGCCTTGCAGGGCACCACACATAGCCACATCCTCTGCCTCAGTGCAGGTTTCACACAGCCCTGCCTTGATTTCCCCACTTTCCCACGGTCAGGAGGGCTCATCTCCCAGCAGAGCTGCTGCTTGAGGGTAGCCTCACCCTGCCCACTTCACCCAGGTCTCCTGGCTGCCCCCTCTCACCTCTGGCCACAGAGGATTCAAGCACTCCACTCACTCACCGGGCCAAAGAAAAGCCACATCTCTCCCTGTGGCCTCTGGAGGACCCAGGTTGAAGCCAAGTCTCTGAACATCTGTCACAATGACACATCCTGATGGCACGTCTGCATACGTTCACTATCATCTCCATTGTATTGTGGTGAAATGGGTGTAAGTTGGAACTATTCATGCAAATATTTAAAAATAAACCTTTATCAGTGCTTTGTTGAGCACTTATTAAAACCTGAATCAACCGGGCTCCGTGGCTCAGCCTGTAATCCCACACCTTGGGAGGCTGAGGTGAGTGGATTGCCTGAGCCTGTAGGTTCGAGACCCGCCTGGGCAACTTGGTGAGACCTCATCTCTACAATAAATCAAAATGAGCCGGGCATGGTAGCGTGCGCCTGTAGTTCCAGCTCCTTGGAAGGCTGAGCGGTCGCTGGAGCCCAGCAGGTCGAGACTGCGTTGGCCGTGAGTGGCCACTGCACTCCAGTCTGGGCGACAGAGTGAGACTCCAACTCAAAAAAAAACCTGAACCAGCTGGGCATGGTGGCTCACATCTGTAATCCCAGCACTTTGGGAGACAAGAGGCGAGAGGACTGCCCAAGATCAAACTGACAACTTGGCAAGACCTTGCCTCTACAATTAAATAAATAAATAAATAGCCGGGTGTGGTGGTGTGTGCCTGTAGTTCCAGCTACTTGAAAGGCTGAGGCAGAAGGATCACCTGAGCCCAGTCGGTCAAGGCTGTGGTGGCTGTTAGCGTGCCCCTGCACTCCAGCCTGGGCAACAGAGTGAGACTCTGACTTAAAAAAAAAAAAAAAAAATCAAAAACTAATAAAACACCTGAACCATTGCCCTGGCACAGGGACAGGAGGCTGTGTTGTAGAAGGCCACACTGCTGTACAAAAAACCATGTGTATTCCAAGTTGCAAATGCTACTGTTTCCAAGAAAGACCGCTAATTTACCCAGAGGTGAGCCCTCAGGAAGGGATGGTGCCTAGTCTGCTGAAAGCTACAGAAAGCAAACTGGGCCCCCACCCCAACTTTGTTTGTGCCATGCAAGGGTGTTACATGGGAGTTGGGGGAGCATCTCAGGAAGGCATCACAGCCTCAGGTAATGGCAAGTCCTTCCTATTCAGCTGTCCCAATTGAAGTGGCACCTGGCCACCAAACCAAGCAAAACAGCCTCATCTGGTCTCCTCTGAAGTTATTAACATTAGCGTACATGTAAATGTTGCTCATGCCAATTTTGGTGACGAGACAGTGACAGAACTGGGCCAAGCTTAGACTTGGAGGAGAATGTGAACATGTGCCACCGGGGATCCATCATCCTGGATCTGTCCTTCCAATGCTGAGAGCCACATCTTGCCCAGGAGGCTTCCACCTCGAGTTGGACACATGTGGGAACCCAGGCCAGGCCCTCACAGCTGGTTGTCTAGATCACAGCCTGGGAGAAGCATCTGGATGCTGGGCCAGGACATTTGGGCTTCAGCATGGTTCTGCTGTGTGCCATCTGTGTGCCTCGGTTTCTTCATCTTCCATGTGGGGATACCAGCTGCAGCAGCCACCTGACAGGGCTATAGGAGAAACTTCTCGGCACTCAGAACAGGAGCTGGCAAGTGAACTCATGTTGGCCCTTATTAGGATTCCATCTGTTAGAGTATCTGGGAACACAACACTCAGTGGACCCAAATCTTGCTTCCCTTTCCCCACAGAGGAGGCTGAGATTCAGAACCCAGCCACCTGCCCAAAGCCCAAACCCAGTCCCCTACTCTCCTGTGGCCTCTTGCCTGTTGGGTGAGCCAGGGAAGCCCTGGATGAACAGAGGCTAGGAGGAATATACCCAGAGGCCGTCCAGTAGCCAGTTTGTGTGCAGACATCACAAATTTCTTTGGGCTGTCCCCATCCCATGGCCACATTGCCCCACCTCACCTCAGCATGCACTGTCATAATACACCTTGAAGTGGCACCACCATGCAGGGCTGCCATTGTCAGCCTCCTTATGTTTCTAATTGTAGGCTCTTCCCCACCAGAGTCCCAGTATCCATGTCCTGCCCCTCATGTTTCTGTATTGTGACCTCCCCTGGGGACGGTGGTGTGACCTGTGACTGAAGTGGCAAATCCTGTCACCATGTACAAATGGAACACAGTCAAAGGGTCCCCCTGGTCCCTGATTCAAATGCACAGGCCTTGTCCCCATTGTGGATCTGCAGAGAACATGGGCCCTTTAGCTTTGGAAGAGATTCACCAAAGGCTGGGAAGTGTGGGGCTGTGACTTCCCACCTTAGGTCTGGGCTTGCATTGTGACTGTGGCCAGGGATGTGGCAGGAGTGGGGTCAGCTTCCCTCCCCGGTGCATTTTCTGATGATGCCCCCGAAGGAGGCCTGGCTTGGGTACGCATGCTGGCTTTAGGTCGTCGCACAGATTTTTCACCAGTGTGGATCCTCTGGTGGTGCAAGAGGGATGGACGTTCCCGGAAGGCACGACCACACTGTGCACACATGAAAGGCTTCTCACCCGTGTGGATGCGCCGGTGGCTTAACAGCACTGAGCTCTTGGCGAAGGCCTTGCCACAGTCCCAGCAACGGTAAGGCCGCTCGCCTGTGTGTAGCAGTTGGTGCTGAGTGAGGTTGGAGCTGTGGCTGAAAGCACGGCCGCAGTGTGGGCACGTGAAGGGCTTCTCCCCGGTGTGCACACGCTGGTGCTTAAAGAGTGAGGAACCTTGGCTGAAGGCAGCCCCACAGAGTGCACAGACAAAGGGCTTCTCACCCGTGTGTGTGCGCTCATGCTGGATCAGGTGCGAGTTGCGGCAGAAGCGGCGGCCACACTGTGCACAGGCATAGGGCCGCCCGCCCGCATGGATCTTGCGGTGTTGGCTGAGGTTGGAGCCATGGCTGAAGGCCTTGCCGCACTCACTGCAACGGAACGACTTCTCAGCTGTATGGATGCGCTGGTGCCGCACCAGTGAGGAGCTGTGCCGGAAGGCCTTGCCACACGCAAGGCACGCATAGGGCGTCTCGCCGCTGTGGATGCGCTGGTGCTGCGTCAAGTGTGACGTTTGGCTGAAGGCCTTGCCGCACTGGGCACACTCGTAGGGCCGCTCCCCAGTGTGGGTGCGCAGGTGCTTGAGGAGGTCTGAGCTCTTCACAAATACTTTGTTGCATGCCCTGCATTCGAAGGGTTTCTCCCCAGGGAGGAGGCCAGGGCTGGCCTGGAGAGCCTCACCCAGGTCATCCCATCTCGGGGGCTCCTGGCCTCCAGGGAGTCTCTGAGGCTCGTGCCAAGCCACACCCATTCTGCCTTCATCCCGGGCACTAACATCCTCCAGGTCCCGGACGCTCCCCATGGCTCTCCCAGGGATCCCCCGAACATACGGTTTCTGCCGCTGGGTCACCCTGAGATGCCTCCCCAGTGGAGCGCGGTCTGCCAGGGTCTTCCTGGACCGGCTGCCTTCAGGAGGCCTCAGTGGGGAGGTCAATCGTAGGCTGACACTTGCTTGGCCACTGCCTGAGCCTAGCAGGAGCCTCTCCCAGTAGATCATCGACACCCCTGTGGGTTTTCTCTCCAGAGATGGGGATGTACCACATTGCAGGCTTTTTGCACTGTGGCAAGCACCAACAGTGGGGCAGACACTAGTAGGCATCCTAGGAGGCCTATGCAGAAAGGCTCCTGGCAATGCATTTCCTCCAGGATCATCTCCATCCTTCACCAAACGCCAAGAACCTGAAGGCAGAGAAATGGTAGTTGCCTGGGGCAAGTTCCAAGACAGTGGGAAGGCAAGAGGTCAGAAACTTAGAGAAATAGCAGAGGTCCATAAGGTCCAGCAGGAGGGGCTGGAGCACTGGGGTAAGCATGTGCCCTGACAGGTGTGGCACTTGGTGGGAAAGGGACTCTCACTATTGGATGCAAGTCCCAGGGCACCCAGAATGTGGAAATGAGCACAGATGAGCAGCTGGGATGTTACCCAGGCCTTGACATTGCCATCTCTCCTGTCCCATCACTCACTTCCTTTGCCCCAGGACCACAGTCTTGGGCACCCCTCCACAGTCCACTCTGCTCTTTGCACTGACCTCTGTCTAAGCTCTACCTTCATTCATCAGTCCTACTTGCCAACTGCCTCTCCCCAGCACTGGTAACCACACAGAGGCAGGACCAGAAGGACCCTGGTGGCGGCTTTGCCTTCAGTACCTGGATGGGCCTGGCCCTGGAAGGCTCAGGTAACCCTTGATGAACACAAACAGATGAAAGAAGAAAGGAATGACCCCACAATGCCAGCTAGATGTGGAGAATTTGAGATCACACAACCCAGCTGTGTATCTCACCTTTGACTGGGGAGCCTTTCTGTGTGAACCCAGTCCTGTATCTTTGGAACTTTCCTTCAAGGGCTGCTAAGGTTGCTGCCTCTAGGAGAGGCTGATGACGGAAGGGGAGGTAGGTGGGCGGTAGAAGATGAGGGTGTGTCTAGGGAAGCTGGAAGGGGACCAGAGGCTTGGGCAAAGGCTGGTTCCACATTAACCCCACTCTACTCTCCCACTCACCAGGGTTGTGCCTTCTGTGGGTGTTTCTGGCTGGGGTTGTGTCCATCCCATGGGGAACCCAAGGGTCCTCACCACGCTCAAGTTGGATGACCACACGAGGTCGGGAGGTGGAGAGTCCTGTGGGGAGGAAGAGCAGTTGAGAGGCCAACCCAGCTTGGGTAACCCACCTCCCCTCCCCAGAGAGAGCAAGAGTCAGGGGTCATGGAAATAGATGACATCATCTGTGCAACCAGGAGAACCTGAAGATGGCCCAGGACGAGGGGCTTGTAGGAACAACCCACGGGTTGAGAGCAGCAAATGTATCTGCAGCACCAAATGAAGGGGACTGAGCTCAGGCACTGAGAGGTCACACTGGACAAGCTGAGAAGTTGTGACTGGGCCAACCACACTATGTGTCCAGGGTCCAGACCTTGCTCCACATGGCCCCAGACCAGAGATGTGGGCCTGCTCATTGCCCACTAGCGAGGTGAGGGGGCAGTCCTGACAGAACAGCCTGTCACCAACTGGGCTTCCCACAAAGGACCCAGGGCCTTACCCAGTGAGGACACAAGGGCAAAGTTTTCCAGCATCACACGGCGGTACAGGGCCCTCTGTGTTGTGTCCAGGAGCCCCCACTCTTCCTGGGAGAAGTACACAGCCACATCCTCGAAGGCCATCAGGCCCTACAACAGCAGGAGAGAGACACAGACCAAGGTGTGGCTGTGTGACCCGGGACCAAGCTCCTTGTCCCAATGGCCACCTCCCCTGATTTCCCACAGACACTCACCCGCCTTCCCTGGGTTCTGCCCCAGGACCTTCTTCAGATGGCACTTCCCTCACCTGTCTGGGCGCCCTCCCCTCCATCTTCACTATCCTGGCCACAGATGTCCCCTCAGCCTCCCATACGAGAGCAAGCCCTGGGTGCTTGGTTAACTGCCACATCAAGCATAGTCACAAGTGTCCACCTGTGTCAGCAAAACCCTAAAAAGTGACCCTCCCGAGACATATCCTTTCTGCTCTCATAACAGGCAATTGACTCCATCCCCGCTCTGGACCCCCATGGCATGCCCATCACTGGGACCCTCCCCTGCTGTGCTTGCCTGACATTTCCAGGCTGCCCCTCCAGCCTGAGGTTGGATGGTCCCCACCAGTGGCCAGAGGGGACCCAGGGACCTGGTGAACACACAGTAAGTCAACCCCTTCCTCCGCCACGGTGGTGCCTCACGTTTCTTTTCTAGTTCGCTGCCACCCTCGCCTCCCTCAGCCACCTGCCAGACTTTTCCCCCAGCTCCAGGCACCCCCAACCACTCTCCTCCACCCTCAAGCCCCAAGGTTCCATCCCTGGAGAGGCCATGAGATCGCTCCCTCCTCAGTCCAAGTGCCAGGCCCTGCCTTCCACCCAGGACACCAATAACCTCGGTTCCAGCAACACCGCCACTCCAGGACGTCAGAGTGCTGCTCTCTCCCTGAAAAGCCTGTTTTCCCTTGAGATGCTTCTTTCTGTCTCCAGCTTGCTCCACTCCTCCAGGAGCTCAGGCTGAGCACCCACCTCACGCCGGATGCTTCGGCGGATCCACCCAGAATTCCACTGCTTTCCCTGCGCCACAACCCTGATCCAGTCCAGGCGCCACCATCGCACAACTGAACTGAAGCAGGGGCCTCTTCCCTCACAGACATCCCTCTGAGTCCTTTCTCCACACAGCAGACAGGTTAAAAATCCCAACTCGGGGAACGTCTGGGTTTTGCTCAGAACCTCAGCCCTCAGCTGCCCTCGGAAAGGCCCACTGCCTCGGCCTGCCCTGCCAGGTACACACGCCCCCTCTGAGCTCCGCCCTCCCGGCTTCTGCACCTGTGGGTCCTCCTCTCGGAACCGGCTTCAAGCCTCGCTCCCCTGGAGGCCGGCAGTCAGGATCCTGCATGTGTCTGCGCAGAGACCTGGACGCCGGGGTTGGCAACGACGGCCCACTCCCAAACAAGGTAGGAGTAAGTCGTCAGGGCAAAGTCCTTCCCGCTGTGGGTTTCCGCCCCGCCGGGACAGGGGTCCCTCGAGTCCCCGGTGCCGCGGCTGTCAGGATCGAACGCCGGGCCCCGGCTCCTCCGTCTGACAGGGGTTGCCGAACGCCCAGAGCTCGACTTGCGCCTCAGTCGCCCCTTCGGGCTGCAGCCTGGAACGGAGCACTTGGCCCCACCGGCCGCCCCCGCTGCGCTCGGGGAAACCGAGGCTCGGGAGGCGGGGCCTCGGCCGCGGGCACGACGCGTGTGCAGGGCGGGCCGAAGCGGGCCCTCCCTCAGTACCTTATCGCCGCCTTCGCCTCCGGCCCCAGGACCCGCTGGAAAAACGGCCCCAGCGACCCGCGCCTCAGCCTGGATCTCAGGCGCGGCCTGACGCCGGGCAGCAGAGTGACAGTCCTCGACGCCGGAAGTGCCGCCGAGGAGGCTCTCATTGGCCAAAGGAGCGCGGTGGAAGTTCGCGCTGGGTATTCTGGGTAATGGGCTCCCGCCCTATTTCCGGCGCGTGGGCGGGGCCATCGACCGTCTCCTCGGCAACGGCCAAGCGTCGCCGCGCAGCGCGCTGGGAAATGGAGTCCTGCGGCTGCTGGTGGTCTTTGGGCTGGCTGTCCTGCGCCGCTCTCCCCAGTATCTGGCGCCTGCCCAGATAGCCCGAGACGAAGCCCTGGGGCTGGCAACGCATACACTGCGCAAAAAGTGCCGAGGTCCAGGCGCGGAGCACAAAGGAGAAAACGACCCGGAAGGGCGGGCGAAGGGGCGGAGAGTCGAGCTCCCGGGTGTCGGCCCAGCTCAGCCTCTTGGCCCAGCTCAGCCTCTTACCTGCCGTGCGACGTGAGCGGGCTGGGACCTCTGCGCATGCGGTGTCCTGTAGAGCAGGGCCCCCAACCTCGGGCCGCGGACTGGTGCGTTCTGTGGCCTGTTGGGAGACGGGCGCCACGGCAGGAGGTGAGCCACGGACGGCACAGAACCCTCGCTTGCTGTTGGGCAGGGGGCGGCGTCCGTTCTCGCAGAAACGCGGACCCTGTGGTGATCTATGCACCTGGAGATCTAGGCTGGCGATCCTTAGAGTTTATGCCCAACACATTACAAAAGGTTTTGCTTTTTTTATTTATTGTAGAGACGAGGTCTCGCTAAGTTGCCCAAGCTGGTCTCGAACCCGTGGGCTCAGGAAGTCCTGTCACCTCCGCCTCCCAAAGAGCTGGAATTACAGGCTTCAGTCATCGCCCCCGGCAAGGTTTTGATTTTTTTGGGGGGGGGTTTGTT